GTGAGCCCTTCTCCAAAGGGTTGGACTCTGAAGGGCAATGCAAAGCTTGAGTCTCGAGTTGGGTGGAGGGCGTCCCGATGGAAAGGGATACAATGCGACATCCAAGTGTAATTGTCAATAACAGGGATTCCAGTCTCTATGGCTGAAGTGGCGACGGCTTCCCATTATGTTTTTTGAACTGCTAAAAATGCAATTAGCTTTTGATTTTAAACCAGCACAGTGCATATCAGTTTGTTGTGTCAAGGACAGCGCCAGCGTTTCGGTGAATGGTGGGGGAAGGAGAATGGTGAGGGCAACATCAGACGATACTTGCCTCTGATTACAGAAATTAGTCCAAATTGGTGGGGAACGAGAACGGCGTAATAAACGCACCTTATACAAATGAAGCCCACTGGCTCTGCCATTCCTACACCATGACACCCTGAACATGTAGCAGCCACAGAGCAAGTGTAAGATGCTGAAGCTTTGGTGAAGCTGCACAAGTCTATGATCGGACAAACATTGATCAACAACAATGTGATCAACGTCATTGTCGACGGCTCCCTACTCATACCTGTGTCCAAAATTTTAAATAGATGATAAAAAATAAAGAAGGAAGGGGAAAAAAAGGGAAGAAAAAGGGAGGGATTTGGCTGACCAAGGTATGGTTTGAGCTGATATTCAGGCAGCCTTCACGAGCTGGTTAGCTTGTGCGAACTCAGACGGTGAAATGAATGGTTGGTTCTATTTGGCATCAGCATAGCCATGGCAATAGTGAACCTAATAAATATTCACTATTGTGCTCACTACTTCGTGTGGTACCTTCCAGTGGCTCCCTCACACTAAAAAAATTCAGCTATAATTTAGATGTATATATAAGCAAATATACAAATTTCTATGCCTTTCCATGGCATATTGAACATTTGTCGCTTGCTCACTCTCGTCCAACATCACCACTCCAAGTCTCTCCAAATCAGCAAAGGAACCAGGTATCAAAGGTAAGTAACGTGTCTTTTTTTCATTTTATTGCTCAATATGATGAATTCACTGCAGTAAACAACCGAGGCGGCAGTCAGTATGACTGACCACCACCTCTCACCACACACAGCTCTTCTCGGCTCTCCCCACCCCCAAATCACCTCATGGACCATCTCAGACCTCAAAGTTTTTTGCCCTGAGACGCAGTGAGGAACGAGTGAAGAATCAGGGCGTGGTCTTAGTATAGGGCATGCGACAGTCAGGGTAGAAATCACTTTCTCTCTTTCTACCACGACAGTCACCACCCCTCTGAGGTCGTCTGACTGGCCTCTTTCCTTTTCTACCCACTCTCGTTAAAGCACCTTTTCCCCATACCAGTACTCTCCCTTTTCTTGCAAAAGCACACTCACCATTTCCTGCCCCACAGATGCCACGTCTTACTCTGGACCCTAACTTGGAAGTGAGGCCAGATTTCGCGTCTGCGGCATACGACGCCCTTTGCACCGCCCTTGCAGCGGCGGAAGGAGTCGACAAGGAGGCCATCGTCACCCGCCTCTCAGATGCCTGGAACGTTGAGAACAACGCCAAGAAAGCAGCATGGGACGAGCAAGTCAGGCAGGACGAAGCCGAAGAAGTGGAGGCCGACCTCGCCCGAGAATGCGAGCGACAACTCGAGCTCGAGGAACGCAGAAAGGAGGAGGAGACAGAAAGAAAGGAGAAGGAGAAGAAGAAGCCGAAACTCAAGAATGTCGCCCCCAACAAGCTCGTGAGGAACACCGTGCGGCTTCGTCCCTCACGTTACGCCATCCACAAGCTAGAAGAACGAGAATACGTCGAGCTATACTATTTCACCCAGGAAGGGTGCACTGAAGCCCTGACAATCGACCGCACCATTGCCCAGGACGCTTTCACATTCACCAAAGCCGACGAAACCTTGCTGCTCAAGCCCATGGCCTCCCACAAACCATCCAACAAAGCGGTCCCCGACGAGAACCTCACCTGGCGTCAAGTGTCACTCGCCAAAACCACCCTATTGCATCACATGTCCCAGGCCGGTTGGCCTGAATACCTCGTCATCATGCTCGCCGAGTTCTACCTCAACCTCGAGGCCCACCCCACGCGCCACGAAGTTGATGGTGACACCATCCTCCTTCACTACCAAGCCCAAGTCAGGCGCGAGTGGCACGAAGCCCTCAGGAATGCCGATGACGATGAAGATGTCTTTGACATAAGCAACATCAACGACAGGCGCGTCGATGCTATTGGGACGAAGATTTGGAATGCCCGGCGCGACGAAGGTGTCCCCAGGTTAGTAACCCCCCCCACCCTTCAGGGTATCCTGCCGAGGCTGACGTATCTTGTTTCCCCCTACTCCCAACCTTGACATTTCGCCATCGCGCACTTGTCTGCACCATGCATCCCTTACTGCACACACACCATGCACCCATGCTCGCCACGCACCCATGCATCGCATGCGCCCACGCACCACTCATGCCGTCCTGCACCACATGCGCCATATGCTCCCGCGGTGCCTTAACTATCCACTTTTGTGTAAATTACGCACCCTTTGCCCACCACTGTACATACTTATGCACCCTGACATGTACATACGCATATGCATGCTGCTTCCCATGTCACGCGCTTCCCTTCCCCTTGCTCCCCACGCTTGGCTATCATCAGGCTTGAAGAAAAGTTAGCTAATACCACTCTGGTTGCAGACCCCACCAAAGCTTCTCGCACGCATGGCCAAAAACGAGGCCGCTCCCCATCGCCCCCTCCAGATCAAGAATCCCATGGAAGAAACAGGCACCTCGCCAACCGCCTGACAAAACGGGGCCAGCACTCCCCCAGCCCTCTACAGCAGCCAAAACAGAATTCTCCCACCAGAGATACCAAACGGCGTCGCGTCACAAAGTCCGGCGCAGGGTTTTTTCAGGCAGGTGCAGCCGGAAGTGGGGCCTTCTCCGCCTGCACCATCTGTCTTGGCCGTGGCCCCCACAACGTGTTCAAATGCGAGTCCGACACCCTGTGGGACGGCTCCCCTGCTCGATGCAAGAAGAACAACAATGGCCGCCTCGTCAACCCAGCAGGCAATATTCTATGCTCCGACTGGCAGCGGCCAAATGGGTGCTCAGCGACCACCCACGACTCCTGCCACGAATGCTCAGGATGCGGCAACTCAACTCATGGAGCTCAAGACTGTCCTCGAGCACAAAAGGCTTGATGCAGCATCGCCCTACCACCCAGAAGCATGGCAAAGACACCTACTCGCAGCTGGCCTGCAACACAAATACCCCAATATCCCTACAGACCTCCGGGCTGGCTTTGATGCAGGCATCAGGCGCATTGCCCAAACCTTTGCCCCTCCAAACCGTCCGTCCCTCTATGAACACAGAGCCGAGTTCAACGAAATCGTGCAGACGGAGTTTCAAAGAGGGAGATACGTGGGCCCTGTCACCCAAGCAGAAGTCGAGTCCCTGCTGGGCGCCTTCCACACGTCCCCACTCAGCATCATTCCGAAACCCGGGCAGCCGGGCAAATATCGGATTATCCAAAATCTATCATCCCCACACACCCCCCTGGGTGCCATCTCTTCCATCAACAGCTCCATTGACTCTGATCAATACCCCTGCACGTGGGGCACATTCTCCACCATCTGTCTGCTCATTCATCACCTCCCCCCAGGCTCACAAGCTGCCATATGCGACGTCAAAGAGGCTTACAGGAACATCCCCATCAAGCCTGACCAATGGCCAGGACTCGTCGTCCGCCTTGATGAAGATGACAGCTTCGCAATCGACACACGGGATTGCTTTGGCCTGGCCTCAGGGGGTGGCCTTTACGGACGCCTTGGGGATGCTGGAGCACAAATCATGCGCTCCCACGGTATTGGTCCTCTCTCCAAATGGGTGGACGACCATATCTTCTTTCGAGTCCTCTGCCAGCACCTCGAAGAGTACAACCATAGATGCAGATGTTGGGCAGAATGCATTGCAGACAACGGTGGTGAGATCCACGATGGAGGGCGCCTCTGGTTCAAAGGCAATGTCATGCCAAATGACCAGCCAGAGGAATTCGACGAGGACCTTACATGCGCCATTCAGGACCTCTCCCAAGCGTCACACAGGTTTGTGCATCCTCCTGCACCAGTTTTGTTGCATCCTGACACCTTGAACAGATCCCTTGAGGACAGGCAGTTCACATACTGCATGGCAGACATCAACACTCTTTCCGACGACCTGGGTATTCCCTGGGAGATCAAGAAGGACATACCCTTCAGCTCTGTCGCCCCCTTCATCGGTTTCTCCTGGGACCTTGCTAACCGCACGGTCAGTCTACCAGAGAACAAGAAGGCGAAATATCTCCAGGCTATCCTGGAATGGGAATCCAAACCGAAGCACACACTGGACGAGGCACAAAAACTATACGGCAAGCTATTACACGCTTGCCATGTTGTACCCGCAGGACGAGCGTACCTCACCAACCTGGAGGCCTTCATGGGACTATGCCACCGTGACCGTCCTTTCTGCCCACGTTCCCCACCCCGCCAAACCCCTAGCGATCTTCTATGGTGGAAAGAAAGACTCACACAGCCTGCCGTCATCAGAAGCATCCCCGGACCCTTCCCCATCGTTGACGCCAACGCTTACTCAGATGCTAGCTCGGAGGTTGGTATCGGGATCACGGTGGGCAACAGATGGAGAGCATGGAGGCTCCTCCCAGGGTGGAAGGCCAACAGCAGAGACATTGGTTGGGCAGAAGCAGTGGGCTTCTGGTTCCTCATCCTCACACTCGCGCCGTCTGCACCCAGAGGCACGCACACCAAGGTTTTTGGAGACAACAGAGGAGTCGTCGAGGGCTGGTGGAGAGGCAGGAGCAGGAACAAACCCACCAATGATGTATTCAAACACATCCACACCCTCTCTGAAGCGCAAGACATCTCCTTCCACACGAGATACGTCCCTAGCAAAGAAAATCCTGCCGACGGCCCCTCCCGTGGAGAATACCACCACAGGTCCCTCCTACTCCCCGCCATCGTCATCCCTCAGTCGCTCCGACAATACGTATGCGACTTCGATGCGCCTCTCTCACCAGCTGAGTCGCTCCGTCTACAGCAAGGAAAAGCCCCCATACCCCTTCCCAAAGCAGACCATGCATTACTCCAACAAGAACGCACAGCAATCAACACTGCTCTTGAGGAACATGCCAGGGCCGTCTTCTCCCAGACGCAACACTGGCTCAACAGCTAACCGCTTCCCTCGTGCAGTCCAACACACCTCCAAGGCAGCGAAACCTGCACGCTATGCAAAGGACCTGTGTCCTCTCCCATCTGCCAGACGCCCGCACGTTCTCGCTAGCGAGCGCCTTCAACTCTGGACACCTTTATATGGACGTGAAGCAGTAAAAACCACACCGTCAAACTTAACCCCAGAAGACATACAACAAATTGCGGTCGTTATGGGAAAATCCTGGGAAGAGTCAACGCTGGCAGCCTATGGCTCAGGCCTGTTGAACTTCCACGTTTATTGTGACCAGAAAGGCATTCCAGAGGAACAACGTGCTCCTGCCAGCCCACTCCTCATTCACGCCTTCATCTCAGCCCTAGCAGGTGCTTACTCTGGCAGCACCATCGACAATTACATATACGGCATCCGAGCCTGGCACCTCATCCACGGGGTCAAATGGCAAATGGAAGTGGCAGAGCTCGAAGTCCTCCTCCGAGCCGCCGAAAAAACCACACCAGCGACCTCAAAGAGAAAGAAAAGGGTGCCTTACACCCTGGCCTTCATCCTCGCGATCAAGGAACAACTCCAGTTGGACAAGCCACGAGACGCCGCCGTCTACAGTTGCCTCACCACTACCTTCTATGCCGCAGCACGCCTGGGCGAATTCACAGTACCAAACCTTAAAGCCTTCGACCCAAACACGCACGTCAAGCCATCGGACGTCCGATCTGAACTCGACCGAAATGGACTTCGCTCCACCGTCTTCCACATCCCCAAGACAAAGACCTCTCCCCGTGGTGAAGATGTTTCCTGGTCCAAACAGGTGGACGAAACTGACCCAGAGGCGGCCCTCACTCATCACATGGCGATCAACAAGCCCCCCGTCGATGGACACCTATTCTCCTACCTCAAGGACAGCCGCTTCAGGCCACTCACAAAGACGGAATTCACTCGAACAGTGGCTGAAGCTGCTAGGAAGGCGGGGTTGGACCCACGCCAGGGGCATGGCATTCGCATTGGCTCGACACTGGAATACCTGCTAAGAGGAACCCCATTCGAGGTCATGAAGGTGAAGGGGCGTTGGGCCAGCGATGCTTTCCTGGTCTACCTAACGAAGCATGCGCAAATCCTCGCCCCATACATGCAAGCAGTCCCTGAGGTCCACGAAAACTTCATCAAGCTCACCATGCCGCAAATTCGAAGGTAGAGCACCCCCCCTCTCTGGGTGGCCTCCTCTCTTCATTGGTAAGTCATCCCCTGCTCCTAGCATTTGGGTTTCCGAGACTCGCTCGACGCGTCGCAGGACTCCTACCTCATGGGAGTCGCAGCTCATCTCAGTTTTGCTTTCAGGATTGGTTCATTCTGCCGGGACGGAAAGCCTCACGGCTTTCGCCCATTATCGCTCGCTACTCGTATCTCTCTCTCTCTTTGCGTGCAAGGACATTACTGCTATCTACCTACCTAATCACTTGTCTACCCATGCACGTAATGTGCTTGCCCTTACCCTAGACGCCCTCAGCCTAAATACAAAGAACAATTTCACGCCACTGAACAACCACATACCGTGCCCCTCCCCATCTCCACATTGCGAGCATGCTGGTGCTCTGCCCCTCTCTTCTCTTGGATTTACGGCCTCTCCCACCCCTACTCGTCCCATCAAACGAAACAGCAGCCGTCACGCCTCTCTATTCACCATCACCATTCCCCCTCCCCTGTTCCAGGCTCCATCACAGCAAGGCAGGAGTCGCTGGGTGGGCATAAACACAGGCCCAAGTAGCCGTCGTTTGTGTGCACCATCCACTGCTAGGTCCTCGTCCCCACCGTCCTCGCCAACACCTCAACCACCACCAAATTCGGACACGAACAACCATATTTCTGCCTTCTCCCCCCTTTTCATTCCAATGCTAATGCCTCAGCCACCACCCACAGCTCCCCTAACCTGTGTATTCAGACATGCACGACCGTGCCCCTACCCTCTCTCCCCTTTCCAGTCCAACGCCTCAGATCCATGGCTGACTGTTTCCGCAAGCCATGTGTGAACGCGAGTAGGCGTGCCATGTCGCTCTGCCCACCATTCTTTCTGGTTACCTTGCTACTCAAGTATGTTACATGAATTCAATATTAAAACATATAAATTTCCTCTTCCTGTTCCTACTAAGGTAGGGGACATCCATCTCTCTCCAACGTCACGTGCAAGGCGTGACATTTCCATTTTGAGCGGCAGTTATACAAAAATGCATCTAAAACATTCCTTCAACAATTAGATACAAATCGGAAACCAGGAGTTTGTGCCAAAATAGGTTGTGAACCGACGCAAAAAGAAAAAAATGTGTAAAAATGTGTTGCACCCAAATCGTATCAAAAATACATTTGGGCGTTTAGCTTAGTGGCGCGTCGTGTCGAAATCAACAGAATTTCCCTGGACACACCGGAAATACAGCGAAACACAAAAGGCTCACCCAGAAAAGGTCAAAGAACCTTCAGAGAGGCTCTAAAAGGAATAGAGGACCTGAAAGATTGAAAAAGAGAAGAGAGTGGCACCTACTTTGTGCATATTTTTGTATTTTGCATACCATTCCATGAGATCAAAATCCTAGCTTCTATAACTTTGTATATAGCTTTCTAACAACAATTATAGCAATCTCCTGGGAACCAATTTTGAATTTCTACTCTGGAGTTGCATATCTTCCATCTTCCAGTCCCCGTGAATATAAAAGGAGCGTTATTGTAACAGCACGTGACGTTGGAGAGAGATGGATGTCCCCTACCTTATCCCTTCCCTAACATTCAGTACTACAAAGCTTGCAATTTCATATCTGTGTTTTCAGGCTCCTCCATTATTCTTTTCAAATTCTTTTGTAAGATTTTCAAGTATTTTCAATGCTAGACAGCAATTTGGCATTGAAAAATAAAATAAAAGTACATTCAAACTAATATATAGCTTCAGATATTGCGTTGAACGAGGGAGCAAAAGAAGAGGAGCATCATTTGCCGGGCATCGGCATCCCAAATTGGAAAGTTATGTGATTCTTTTAAACTCCGTTCAGTAGTGATCAGTAGTGAAGCACAGGTATGAGTAGCGACCCTTGTCAACCACCACGAACTTGTTCTGCTCCATATTCAACTGGGGTCTAAATGGAATACACGTGGTTCTGTCTCGTTTACATAAGGTGGGTGTCTGATTGACATTGTCCTTGACCACCACCCTCATCTACGCATCTTCTTTTCCAGCTCGTTACTTATAGTTACCGCGTCTCGTCTACGGACTCGAGGTTACTTGTACAAGACCTAAAGATTGATATCGATTATCCTTTGGATTCGTAAGGTTCGTCCATGGCGTATCTTCTTCTAAGCACTAGTTTTCTGACAATGCATTCGTCAGTGTCATGCCATCCCCTTGGGCTCTATTCACGCACATCAGAGATACGTTTAGGTCCCTACGACAATGTGCTGAGGACAACTTGTAGCATGAGTTTTTGATGAGGCACAGAGCAGAAGGTAATTGTGCAGGAGGGGTCAAGACAGTGTTGTATCTCAGGTACGAGTGCTAATTCTTCAACAACCATGTCTCTACTAAGACACTTGTACCTCCAGAACCGACGCCGAGGGCGATTCACCAGCCCATTGAAACTCCAGCCAGCTCATGCTCTGCGTTGACGCTGTCCTATCACGTAACACATGTTACGCGTTCAACAGACATTGTAGCCCGACACAGCGCTGCCAACCGAACAAAACAACGTCCGACATATTCAAAATTTTCATGATCTTCTAAACCTCTCGAGCCATCTATTCAATCTCCAAACCTTCACTCTAACTGAACGAATGCCTTCGTCTTACCCTTTGAAAATTCAACTTTCTGATAGCGTAACGAGACGTCTATGTATGTCCTCTTGCTTTGCCTCCTTTCTCGATGATGAGCTAACGGTTTGTGTTTCATAGGCTTGATGACATGGCAGCCGGGCCTCTCCTTTAAAGCATCAACATTGTACTTGCGAGAACACCGTCCGACTTCTACCGGAGGTGAGAGGAACTTGTAGCAGATCGTTCGTTGAGATTCCTCCTCAGACTATCCGAGCTCTTAGCGGCGACGGGCAGCAAAACATACAGTGCGCAGAGGAACAACATCACCATGTACATTTCAGAGAGTGCGAGTGGAGCAGGGCCGTATATAACAGCCCGAACTATGAGAAGCAGTTCTGTCGAAAGGGGTGATCGTGTATAGGGCAGTGCATATAGGCGATACTTTTCGTGAACTACAGTGCTTTGCATTGCCGTTTGCACTTGGAGGTTTCGAAAATGTATTTGCATGTGTTGTTCCGTGACATCCACAAATCGGGAAGTAACAGGCCGCCGTGCATACTGCGCAATCACACACTGTCAAAATCCATTCTTCGTCGATAGCACGTCAAGCTTCAAGGCTCTTCCTCTCCATCCACCATCACTACTCTGCGTCTCGGCAGTGTCTGCCACCATGTCCTCATCCATGGACCATCTTGCAGCCTGCAAATTTCTTGTTCTCCGTGGACCGACTCTGAGCCACTTCCAGGATGCGCTACGAGCTCAGGGCGCAAAGCCGCATTTTGTGGGGCCTTGCGCCGTAATCTTCTCAGCGACATATTCGGTAGGCTATAATTTGAGAATGCTGAACTCCACTGACCTCATCCTGCAGGGGAATTGAATACGGAGCATACCAGTGTTTCAACAACTTTTCACACCATCTGCAGATATTCTCTTCAAATCTTGTATAAAAGGTGAGCGGTAATTTAAAAGATTTCTCAGTGCCCAATATGTTGAACCGTTCACTCTCAGACCAATTCCTACAACCACCCTTCACTCAGCCTAATACCAACGAGGCTCATGAAACTCAGGATGTTGATGCCGACACCACCACCAGAGACGCGCGAAGGCCGTCGGCAGGCTGGCTCAGGAATCCCGCCTGGATTGGTACGTCAATTAGAATTCATACTACAAGCTGATTCTCATTCCTCGATGCAGATGGTGGTGTGAATCCACCTAAATATTATTTTTCGCATGAAGAGATTGACGCAGCGTGCTGCGCCTCTGGTGTAGAACCACCACCTCGATACACCCAACCCGAGATTCCGGTTGCCCCATCTCAGCCGATCACAACAGCTGGTACGTGTCCCCTAAGTCCTTTCTTTCAAACCATACCAATAAATTTGACAGGATTACCCCTTGCTACCCAATACGATATACTTTCTTCAAGGGTTTCACCAACGCCAGTCCCTGCAAATAATCATTACCGCATGGCCGGACCATTGGGAAATGGTGTTGGAAATGAACCTTGGGTACCTGGTACGTGTATTCATCAACTCTTACAGTTTTTATCTTATTCATATTTCAGCTGCGCCTCCACCCGATGGGCATCTCGTCAATGTAACACACACGTACACCGCAACGGAATCGACGACTGGTTCCTCCCGCAATGCGAAGGCTGCTGCTCCAAAGAAGAAGGCAACGACAATGCTGGGGAATATCACTCTCGAAGGCATAACACGTGTAGACTTTATCAAGGCTTTCCTTTCCATCCACAACCTTGACACCCAGTTTGCCCCTGGTGTCCACTCTGGTCCTCCGTTCAAGCTCTCATGGACCGGTTCTATGTGCGTATCTCAATATTAACTATTATTCATATCCTAATCAAGTTTTGCAGTGGCGGAAAAGGCAATGCGCCGACATTCTTGACAGATGAAAGCTTTAACCTCGCCCTTGCGGCCATCCTCAAGAAAGATAAGAAGAAGATTCACGTCACCCTCGAGTTCGACACAGATGTAATGTCAGGCTATCGAATCCAACACCTGGTCTGTTTCCTTTTACTGCATCAATTCTTCATATTCACTTTGACATATAGGTTCCCTCATTGAATGTGCCAGTGAACAATGGCGAGGAGGAGCTTCTTTATGGAACCAGGGTAAGCTTTCTCTTTCCACGCCTTACATTTAATGACTTTGATGCCTGTAGATTCCACAACTCGCCCAATTCAACGATACCGAGCAAGTTAATGGACGATTCATCTTGGAGATCAAGAAACGGTGGCCATGTGCTTCTCATCAAGGAGAGCATGGTGAACCAGGCCATTGCTTTATCACAGTCTCTGGAGGACATCTGCGGCTCAACCCCCTCCGTCTCAAGATGTGGGCTGCTGCTATGGTACGTCTAAACCTTTGCAAATACATTTTAAGCCTGAATATCTTCTTTAGGCATCTGGTGATGTTATGAAGCATGATCCACCATGCACAGAGGCCTTTGATGGTCCACGCGATGGACAGATCTCGTCTATCCGAGCGCGCGGCCACTCAGGTGCAAGCACGGCGTCTACAGCCTTTGCTCCAGCCAACAATGACATGATGACGCTTGTCATGGCGTCTCTTATTCCCGTCCTTGGCGGATTATCCCGTAAACGTCCCCGTTCTGAATCCCCCGGCCAATACTCGCCTCCGCTTCCCAAGCGTCCTCATTCTGATTTACAGACACCAATTCGCAACCAGCCCAATGTCCAAACCCCAAAGCGCCCTCGCTGTGAATTCCAAACACCAAAGCGACTAGCATTCCAGCAACCTCCTGCCTCCCCTGTCTCTATCCCAGCTCCTGGTTTTGAGCTGCGAGTTTGCCTTCGAGACTTTGCAGAGCTCGAGGCTGTTGACATGACGCCGTTTGAGATTGCATTGCGCGAGGAGGACTTCACTCCTGACCTCATCGCCTTGGCTGATGAGTCGGCAACCATAGCCATTTGCAATATTACGGGTGCTACATGTGGTCGTCTCATGAGGTTGAAACTTTTTTGTAGGAAATGGCAGACTACTTACGAGCAGAAGCTTCTTTCGGGTAATTATACTACCTATGAACTTAAGTAACTTACTGTTGCATTGTCTCGGCCGTGCTCAAAAATTTTGTAACATATGCTTTGCTACTAGTTGACCATGTCTCGCTATTAGTTTATCTCATCAGAAAACGAGTAACCACAGTTTGATATCCATCCAATTGCCATCTCGTCTGTTACTGCTAACCGAGCTTGATGAATTAACCAGGGTCGGCCCTCGGGTGCCACAGCTTGAGCTTCATGACGTCGCAGCCAGGCTTTGATACTGTGGAAAGCCTGTTCAATTGGGTTGTAGTCAGGGGAGTATGGTGGTAGATAGATGAGTTTTGCGCCTGTAACTTTAAATCAGGCATAGAAGGCAAATAAACGAATTGAGCAACAAACCACATTCAACTTCAATAAGGTGCCGTATATCCTCGTCATGGTGAATCGCACAGTTGTCCATGATAACCACACTGCGGGGACCAGGGTATGGATTCAACTTTGGAGCCTACAACATAGATCAGTTACAAAGCTGGTGACATTTTAACAAAAAAATATATCTTACAACTTGTTCATTTAGAAAGGTAAGGAAGCGCTCTTTATTCACCGAACCCTCGAAGATATCAAGTGCAATGATACCCTCACATGTAAGAGCTGGCAAGACCGAATACCGCTGACTGCGGACAAAAGCAGCACGGCAAACACATGCTCTACCCATCGCAGCCCAACCCTGGCTACGCTGGTTGGTCCGATCATCCACACTTGCTTCGTCCAACCAAACACAATAATCAGCTGGAATATCCGCATATGCGGCCTGCCAAGTTGCGCGTAACAATTCATTCCTTTCTAATGCTTCATTTGCTACATGCTTGCGCGTCATTGAAAGTCGGTGGAGTGTGCGGGAGAGAGTTGAAATAGAAGCAAAAACATCTCGCCTATCCAGAAGTTCATCTTGAATTTCATCTAGGTAAATCTTTGGCCGCGCGTCAATCAAAGACTCTATAAAGTTCATATCTCCCATGTTTAAAGAACGGCTGGCGCCATGTGGCCCGCGTGTCGACGGTTCTCTGAGAGTGTGGTAGTCACGGTGGTAAGAGAGGATGTTGTAGATTGTCCGGACACTACATCCAACAAGGCCTGAGATTTCCTGCGCCGAGAGATGTTGCTCATCGTGCCAAACGATGATCCGCGCACGCATCTTGTTCGATACTTGAGGCGCCATGAGAGTTGGCCATGAGGGGTTCAAAATCCCCAATGTGCTCAAATCTGGGATTGAATGCGTGACGATCTACAGGGTCTGTAACGGACACACAAAGCCAAACATGGTTTTCACGATCTCTGAGTGCAAACGGCAGTGCAAAACACTGTAATGACGAGGATATTAATTAGAAAGGAGAGCCGGATGGAATGGTGTAATGGGGCGTGACAGAAGAGCAGTGCTAGTGAACTTTTGAAGACTCTGTACTTCCCCAACATCTCCCCAACCCCAAGTCCAAACGCTCCTCAACCTCCCAATCAAGATCAACGACAAACACATTTTCACAATCCCCCTCCCTCTAATCACCTTCCTCACCTGCGTTCAGCGTCAGCGAGGCTTAGATCGTTAGTCTAAGCACCATCGAGCAGGGCTAGGATTTCTTCGATTTGGAGGGATGAGCTGCCTGTTCGAGAGGCTGGTGGACGGATCGGCACCTGGTGGCAGTTTCCCAATGACAGGAAGGGTGGATTGTCAGTTGTGTTGTTGAGCTTGGTCAGAGGCAGACGCGGAGGTACGGCTCAACGAAGACC